GTTTTGTGTTTTATTATAACTAACATGTAAATTAGAAATTGTTGGTTTTTTGTATAATGAAGTTTTGTTTAATGTTTTTGTTTATCGATGATTTTAAAATGATATATTATTTTTTATAGTGCGGTTTTGTTTTGGTGCATTATTTTATTATAATTGTTTTATACTTTTTGACCTTATTATTTAATAGGATGGTTTCTTATTTTTTTGGTGCTATTTATTTAATAGAGCGATTCCTGATTAGCTGGTTCGATTATTTAATAGGGCGGTTTTTTATTTTTTTTGGTGCTAATATTTAATAAAGCGGTTCCTGATTTGATGGTGCGATTGTTTAATAGGGCGATTTTTTATTTTTTGGTGCTAATATTTAATAGAGCGGTTCCTGATTTTTTAATGCGATTTGTGACTTTAATTTTTGTATTTTATAAGGCGGTTTCCCCCTTTTTCTAATGCGGTTTAGAAACCGCATCAACAAATAGTGTCCTTTTTTGATGCGATTTGTGACTGTAATTTTCGTATTTTATAAGGCGGTTTCCCCCTTTTTCTAATGCGGTTTACAAACCGCATCAACAAATAGTGTTATTTTTTGATGCTATATTTTTTAGTGCGGTTAGAAAACCGCATCAACAAACTATATTAACCGCATTATCAAATCTTTTCTGTATTAGTGTCTTTCACCGAATCAAAAGTCTACCATGGGATATTATACCATTTTAACGTCCATTGAAGCACCTTAGTAACAAACGAGTAGCCAATCATAATGTGATCTGTAGAGTCGAGTCCATTAGAGCAAAAGTGACAGGAAGTAGGGATGGAGACACCTCTGAGAGAAAGGGTCACCGCAAAAAGAATGTGATCCATACATGCACGCCAAACAAAACCGGTTACTTTGTGGGGGTCCTCATTAGTCCAAATGGTTGGATTATCAACAGGACATGTGGTTTTAATATCTATAATACGTCTTAAATCGCGGACATAAAAACTGCCATCAGTAGCAAGGTAGAAGCCCACATGTCTGGGGAATTAGAGACACACCAGTTACGAAAACAAACTTGGATTTTGTCCCACTCCTCAATCTCACAAGGGAGCCTTTGTGTTTTTTTTCCATTTCCAGCAACAAACAATGAGGGAAATTTTTTTCCATTTCCAGCAATAAACAATGAGGGAAATTCTCTCAGAAACAAAACAGGATTTTTTTTCACATCAAGGGCCAATAGGTGAGGAAATTGAGAGGCAAGAGTTTCATCTCCCAGCCAATATAGTCATGGAACCAAATTTATAGTATGTAACTTTTATTTATTTTTGGCCCCAAATTTGACTGTAGAGACTCGAATAGTGGATATAAAAAGAAGATCAATTGTAATTAGCAAAACCAATTGAATTATCATGGCAAATTTTAGGTACTTAATTCTAACATATGATAATTAATGTTATTCCGAGTTATCTTTTAATTAACTTGTTATGACCATGATATCTATCACTTGATCACTTAATTGATTAATATTCGTGTCCATTATTATTCATATCTAAACCAGTAAATCTGCTAAAGCTCGAGACATACAAGCAAACCAAAGGGATGTTCAAAGGACGGGAAACTACATTCAAAAGCTCGTAATTTTAAACATTAGTTATTTAGTTTTCATTGAAATATAGAACACGAAGATGGTACATTCTGCATGAGTAGTAGTACTCTGCCATAGAGATAGATATATTTGGAGAGAGAGAGAGAGAGAGAGAGAGAGAGAGAGAGAGAGAGAGAGAGAGAGAGAGAGAGAGACGGAGTGCATCGGGAGTAGTACATTTGTAGGAGTTTTAACACTTGGGAGTGGAAAGCCCACAAGAGGTGGCAACCTTCTGGGCGTTAGGAGAAACAACGTAACTCTTGAGACTAGGGTTCTTCATGTACTGACATAAGCATGGCCTCTGCTCTTTCAGCTTTGTGCAGCACTGCTGAGATGGTGGCGAGGATGACGAGAAGGCAGCGGCACACGGCGCCAACTCCGTCACCATGCATGTCACCGCCGTAGCCACCTGCGATCCGGCAAACACCATCACCAGAATTGCTGCTGCACATAAGGTAATGTATGTTCCTGACCTCATTTTTCCACTAACTTGGTGGGTTTAATGCAAAGAGAGAAATATTGATGGTGAGGAGTTGCATTGTAGGCTGGCGGCTCTAGGTCAATTTATAGAGAAGCAACCCCCCCCCCCACCCCCCCCCCCCCCCACCCACCCACACACACAAATGAAAAAGTTAAAAAGACTTCCAACTTAACCGATAAGTCATTAGTGTTGGTTTAATGGTATGTGGTAGGTGGATTAGTGTCTCACTCTCTTAAGGTATAAAATTTAAGTGGGTTTATATGTTATCATTATATTAGAAGTCATTTATAAAGCAAATCACGATAGTGACAATTTTTATTTAATCTTAAATTAGGACACATTAATTTGAAAGTTAGTACGTACAAGAGTTAGGTTAATTTTATTACCGAAAATTTTTGTTAGTGACTTATTAATTAGTACAAAAGATTATGGTGTGTACCATTCCATCCCTCCACCATCCCAAAATTTCTACGATTTCTCCACTTCGGCACCGCATCCTCATCGGCACCGCATCCTCATCATCTAGATAATTAGTATTATACCCGTCCAACGATAATTAGTATTATACCTGTCCGTTGGACGATTGACTGACGTAATAACAATAAATCTATTTTACTCTTTTTGTGTAACATTTTAGTTTCATATATATATATATATATATATATATATATATATATATATATTATTAAATATATTGTCTGCTTCTTGAAAATTAAGAGGTAATACCTCATGTACAATAATATTAAGCTTACATCGTATACGTATACACTGTATTCCCTTATCTCTTCGATCTTCGATGTTACCCTAATCTTCTCTACACACAACAGCTGCCATCAAACGGAAATTGAACCCCTCTTCTTTACGTCTCCTGCCTAATCGCTTCAGAATCGATCGATACTCACCCGCAGTGTCTCCTTTTCTCAATCGACGCCCTCGAAGTCCACCAACCATTCACAGCTCAAACACCTTCATGGATCAGTATGTGCCGTATCCCAGCAGCAGAAGGAAATCGAACCCCTCTTCTTTGCGTCTCCTTCCTAATCATTGGATCAGTGTTTGCTGGTAGGGTTGCTCATCCAGTGTTAAAAAGCACACATTTTTACCCTAATCTCCTCTACACAACAGCCACCATCAAACCAAATCTCTACCGTCTCTTTCTTGGCGTCGTTGATGAATGTCTCAGTGCCTCCACCGTCTCCACCTGACTCTGGCAACATCACACACCAGCAGCGCGCCACCATCTGTCTCCACCAAAGATGCAATCGACCCACTGGAAGTCCACCTTTTCCGTCACCGATGTCCGCCACCCCCGTTGTCTCCCCGCTTCTACCTTCTAATAATACGAGTAGCCCTAACCCTATCCCGCCGCCACATTCAACCACTATCTGGTCGTCGTCGCTACAACCTATTAGCGGGTCACCGTCCACCATTTCGTTCGATTCTTAGCAAACCACAACGATCAGATGGGATCAACAAAAGCTGGCTTCTCCTCAAATTACAACATCAAACAATCTCCGCTCCAATCTGTAACTCTCTTTCTATTCTCTTTTCTTATGCTGTAATTTATGTCCTAAAACCCTAATTTTTTTCTAAATCGTTAGTCAGACAAGGGTTATTTTTCTTCCAAATGTTAATTTTGTGTAAATCGCCCTTTTGGGTGTTGATGAGTTGTTGCTTAAGTTTACAGCTTATGTTAGGTTTTACGAGGTTTGTGCTCCTAAAAAAGGAGACTATGTTTATGTATCTGCAGTTGTTGGACAGCTTGTTGGTCAACTCGCTAAGTTACATGGATGCTATGTGGTTGGAAGCGCTGGAACAACCCAGAAAGTACATATTACCAGTTTCTTATTTACTTAATGAACTTAATGATTAAACACTTAATATGGACATATACATGGCTGATGACTGTTTTGTTTTTACTTAACCTGAAGTAATTCCTTATCTTTTTCTTACCGTTGAACTTGCTGTTTGTAGGCTGACTATCAATTTTTCTACAAATTATTTCCTTATCTACCCAAGAAGTTGCAAGTGCAACCATGGATGAACAGCCAGAAGTTCTGATGCTCAGCCTAGAGACAAATTCAAACGTGATAGTCTTTACATAGACAAGCAAGGGAAATTAAGAAACTTCGATCATAAAAATGTTTCAAGGAAAAGAGGTATGTACAAAAGTTCCTTTTTCATTATCTCAGAATCTAAAGTATTGCTTTAATGATCTTATGAAATGCATATTGTATTGCTTTTGTGTAGGTGGTTCTTTAAGGGGGCAGGGATGGAAATATGGATCAGGGTTTGTGGATGGAATATTTCCAGTGTTGAGTCCTGATGTACAACATATTTTAAACTTCATGAAAAAGGAAACTGATGTGAACAGGGTATGGGATGCTCTTAGTAGTCTTGTTCCCACTCACACTACATGGGATGATATCATCAGTGTTGGTGTTCAATTTCGTCTAAATAATAGATGGGATCCAATCATATTAGTAAGAACCATTTTGTTGTCTTTGTATTACATTTATGAAATATTGGTTTGATAATTTGTCAACTACTACTCTCATTAAAGATGTGTGAATGGATTAGTAAGAGCCTATTGTACATCTGTGTGTATCTTTATATATGTATCTGTGTGCTTATCTTTGTGTGTACATTACTTAAATGAAAAAAATAAGAACTTAATTTGATTTTTTTTTCTCAGATATTGAAATAAATGAGTGCTTGGAGAGTCATGGTGGATGTTGGCATGCCAGAGAGCATATTTGACTGATGGATTCAAGTTCTTCCCCCACTGTGAGGGTTATTTATAGTTGAGGACTGTCCATGTGGTTTTCACTCTAATAAAGAACTAAGAATTCATGTAATTGCGCACCACTATCTATTTTGCTCAGCTGAAAAACTTGCAGCTTCCACTTTTTCTTATAAAGGTTTATAAAAATGATCAATATTTGTTTGATGAAGAAGAAGCTAATGAAGCCGGTAATTGTAAATGCTTACATGGCCTACCATCCCCTATTTTTCTTTACACAACTACATACACTTCCACACACATACATATGCACACGTACACACTTTAGTGAGCAAAACATGGGAAATAGCTTACTTATATTGAGATAACAAAGTTGGGTTCTTTGTTATTTCATATATTCTCAAAACAGATTTCCTATTTTTGTTATCTAAGATTAAATCAATATTTCTTTTTTGATTTTCTTATACCATATTTAATTGTAATATATTTGGAGTTGCCCAATTAAATAAAAAGGTAAACCCTTTTTTCTCACCATATAATAGCGTGTTATGTTTTCTTTTCCTAATGATTTTGAACCAGTTAGATGTTTGTATAATAAGGATATGTTAGTTTTTGTTCCAGGGTTGTAATTGAAACAAAAGCTGAAAATAGCATGGCTTAAAGCTCCGAACTTTTTATTCCAGGTTTCACTTCTTCCTCTGTTGATGTGTGTTTTGGTCTGATAAACTATTTTTTTTAAAATTTTTTCTTAATCATCCATGTATTTTATTCTTTTAAGTCAACAAAGTCAAGGTAGATATGGCTGGTGCAGGTGGGCCGAATAAAGTTTGAAAATTTTCAACATTATGTAAGTTACGAATTGTAAAAGTTGGGCAAGGTAGAAATTTCTTACATTTATACATTGTCGGTTGAAGGTCATATTTGTGCTATTTTGGTTTTGGATTTGATGGTCATATTTCTGACTCTGTTTTCATTTTGTGTAGGTTATGTCTTCATTTAACAAATCAAATTACATAAATAAGTAGGGTTTTCACTATTTATTTTAATTAAAATCATGGTGTTTGAAATATTTTCAAAGGTCTGAATGGAAAATAGGGTAAAAACATTTAATGAGTGATGGGGTATTGGATTTGATATATCTAATGATGATGGCAGAGGAGTGGAGAAACCTAAAGTGAATTTTAATGGTTTATTTGACATTTTTCATGACTTTTTTTTGTTAATTTATTTAATTTGGATTTGATGTGTTTTTGTAATCCTTGAATATTTGAGGTTCTAAAAGAAATGCAATTTATTTGACTCATCTATATTTAGGTTAATGATCTATTATATTTTGCTGCTCCTATTAAATATGATTAAGTTGATGAGTCTGAGTTGGAAGACTACTCATGATGATGAAATTATGAAGGATTTTATATTTGGTGAAAAATTGTATCTCGTGCATATATGAAAGAACTTTTTAAACTAATATACATACATAATTACATATATTGTAAAATGTTAAGTGCCTCTCAGAAGCATGCATCATCTGTTGGTGTCAAGAAACAACCTGTAGGGAAAATAGAGTAGAAAAAAATATATGTAGGATGATATTAGTGCATCTCAATTTTTTAAAGTATACTATGCCGTTGATAAGAAAAATTGAAAGTGAGATTCTTAAATTAGGAAAAAAATGAAAATACAATAAGGGAAGCAAATAATTTTTTTGTTATAGTTATATAATAATTCATAGATAAGAATAGGAAATAATATTTTTGACCCATAATTTGAATAGTAGAAATACAGAAATAACACCTATGGATGTAAGACAAATATATCTTATTTTATTGTGACGAAAGAAATTATGTAGCTCTTAAAAAGGGACATGTAAAATGTCAAATAAGAAAAAAAAGTGAAGTTAGTTTTTATGTGGGATACAAATCCTAAATTAAAAGTTGAGTTCAAATCAACAAATGACAAGTATAAAGAAATTCATGGTTTAATAAATACAAAAAATACAAATTGCTTTTTCAGTTGCTAAAAAAAGTCAAAAATCGTAATATAGGTTCGGTAAAAAGATAATATATCTATACATTGAAGAAAATGTTAGTTTTCAAATAAAGAACGTTGTCATAACAAAGTGTTATTATACTTTAAAATCAAAATACTTAAAAGTTAGTATATAAGATTTTATCCAAACAGTCGTTACTAACAAAAAAGGAAGAATAAATTGTAATTGATTTCTTGGGTTAAAGAATAATAAAGCGTTTTAATATTCTTTTAAAAAAAATCAAGATTACTGTTCAAAAATTGAATTGATAAGAAACTTGAATAGACATGATTTTATCTTCTAATATTTCTTTAGGTTGAACATACTTAACTTTTATATAAAGTGAATAATAACTAATTAACAAAATTTTTATATATCTGATTTGACCTAATGTTTTTTTTAATGTCAATTCTTTCTGTTGCATCATGGTGAAACAAAACACACCTAATTTGTCTGTTATATATA